CATATCCCCAGTGGGGAGTGTGCAGGAGGCAGCTGATCGATGTTTCTCTCTCATTGATGTTTCTGGCTCTCTATCCCTCTCCCTTCCTCTCTGTAAAAAATCAATAAAATATATTTAAAAAACAAACTATGATCAATATGCCATATTGGTGGATACACAAAGTGGATTAAAAGCTGCATTATTTCAACAGAGCATAATTAAAATCTATAATAAAGAATCAAGTGGACCTTCTGTAATTACAAAACATCAATACCTGAAATTACGAACGCAGATTTGTTTAACAGCAGACTGAACACAAAAGAAAGAACTAAATGTGTTCTGACTCCAAAGTACGGGAAAAGTATTGTGAACGTGGTATTTTTCTTAACTACATGGTATGTAAACAGGTAAATATATATAGTTGAGATCTGTATACTTTGCTATATGCAAATTATACCTCAGTTTAAAAACTGAATGAATCCAATAAATTCAACTTGTGAAAAAAAGAACTTGTCAAGCTATGAAATAAGAACTGAGTCCAACGTAGGGCAACCAATCATCCCAGTTCGTCTAGAACTGAGGAGTTTTTGGGACACAGAACTTTCAGTGCTAATATGGAAAACCAACACGATTGGGAACCATAATTCAAATACCTAATTCCAAACACTAATATGATGGTCACTGGCATACTGCTTTTGGGGCTTCTTACAGAAGGAAATCAAACTACTCTTTTTTAAAAATATGTATATATATTATTGATTTTTTACAGAGAGGAAGGGAGAGGGATAGAGAGTTAGAAACATCAATAAGTGAAACATCCATCAGCTGCCTCCTGCACACCCCCTACTGGGAATGTGCCCACAACCAAGGTGCATGCCCTTGACCGGAATTGAACCTGGGACCCTTCAGTCTGCAGGCCAGTGCTCTATCCACTGAGCCAAACCAGTTAGGGCCAAACTACTCTTTAGTATCATTCATGTTTACTGACAGTTACTATTTTGAAGAGCAGTGCTCAAGGTTGTTTCTGGTATAGGAGTAAAAAATGATTGACCTATGGTTTATTATTTGTTTGTTTTTAATATTATTCTAAATTCAGAAATAAAGAATTCATGATGTTTTCCAGTTTTTCAGCATCTCTTGGCATCTTCATTGGAAAAATGGTGGGCTGGCACACGTTTGCCTCAATCACTCCTTTCAGCTTTGTCATTCTATGGTTCTCTAATTCTACATAGTGACTTCAAGTCCCCGCTGCTCCAGACACACCTCATATTTCAGTTTCCTCAATAAACTCTATTAATTGCCAGCTGGAGTAGCCTGACATTTTCTTCAGTCTTTTCCTGCCCTCCACATATGGAGTAGATTTTTCAGTCTCAGAACTTTTCCCTGGGTCTGAGTTTATGAAAAAGAAGTCAATCTTAAAAGGCTATATACTGTATGATCCCAATTATATACCATTCTGGAAACAACAAAAATCTACGAAGACAGCAAAAGGATCAGTGGTTGCCAAAGGTTGGGGACGTGGGAGGGATGAACAGGCAGAGCACAGAGAATGTTTAGGGCAGTGAAACTATTCTGTATATTATAGTGGTATATACATGTCATTTACTTTTGTCCAAACTCATGGTATCCTATCTAATAAAAAGGGAATATGCTAATTGACCCTCACACCATCACAAAGATGGCAGTGCCCACAGCCAATAAGGAGGAAATATGCTAATTGACTGTCCTGCCCTCAAAGATGGCAGTGCCCTTGGCTACAAGATGGTGGTGCCCAGTCCCTTCAGCCCTGCCAGGGTGGCAGGTACGCCTGTCTCCAGAGCCCCCAGTTCCCTCAGTCCCCCAGCCACCCAGGGCCTCCCAAGGCTCAGGTAACCAGTGCCAGCCAAGGCTTGCGCTGCGGGCCGTGGCAGCAACAGAGGTGTGATGGGGGCGTCGCCTTCCCCTGATCACCAGCTCGCCTCCCACCCCTGAGGGCTCCCGGACTGTGAGAGGGGGCAGGCTGAGCTGAGGGACCCTCCCTCCAGTGCATGAATTTTCATGCACCAGGGCTCTAGTCCTATAAATAAAAGACGAATATGCAAACTGTCCCCTCGACCAGGAGTTCAACAAGGGGGCGAGGCCAGCCCACCAACCACATGCAGCCTCCCCAACCCCCTGCCCTGGCCCAATGGGCCCCGATCTGGGTGGGCCGGCTGGACCCCACCCATGCACGAATTCATGCACCAGGCCTCTAGTGTACAATATCAAGAGTGAACACCAATATAAACTATAGACTTTGTGTGTTGATGTAGGTACATCAGTTGTAACAATGTACCACTCTGGAATGGATGTTAATGGTGAGGGAGGTTCGCCTTGGGAGATAAGAAATAGATGGGAAATTTCTGAACTTTCCACTCAATTTTGCTGTGAACTTAAAACTGCTCAAAAAAAAGTCTATTTTATAAAAACATTTTAGATGATGAAAATTCCTCCAAAAAATTAGTAATTAAGCAAACAAACAAACAAACACATACTATAACATAGCTCTCCAAACAATTACAAACAGGCAGAGATCAGAGAAAATTCATAACCTTAAACATTTATATCAATAAAATAAAAATGAAAATATAATTTTCAACTCAAAAAAATGACAAAAATTAAGCAAACTGAAAGAAAGTACAAGAAAGAGATATTAAAGATAAAGGGAGAAATGAATAAGATAGAGAAGAGAAAAGCAATAGACCTAAGTAATATCTGAACACTGTTCCTTGTCCTGCGTATCTTGTCATTCTCTTCTTTGTACCAATTCCTCCCGGTTCTGTGTCATGAACCCTCTGCCAACTGCCCATAAAGATTTTGCAACTGGGCAGGACTCTGATGCCTGGTAACCACTGTGACACTGAAGAAATTATGAATTTTGATAAGTAGGAACCTGAAATGGAAACTGGACAATAAGGTCAAATTCCCCTTTCAGGCTTTTCCCCTTGTCTCTGTTTTATGTTGAAACCACAGGGTGAGGCAGCGAGACAGTCTGAGCAAATGCTAGGAAGAGGAAAGGGGAATGACTGATCAAGTGGGCACTCTTTCTCAAGGGACAAACAGCATCCCAGGAAAGAAAAATACTCCCAAGTTTA